ATGAACCTCTCACGAGCACGAAACCAACGACAAGGGATGACAGTTCCTGGACCCTTCTCGATAGAAAATCTCTTGGAGTCATTCGATTGACGTTATCCCGTAATGTTGCTTTCAACATTGCAAAAGAAAAGACAGTGGTTGATCTTATGAAGGCTCTTTCCAGTATGTACGAAAAGTCGTCGGCCTCAAACAAAGTTCATTTGATGAGGCGATTGTTCAACTTACGGATGATAGAAGGTGTGTCAACAATGCAACATCTGAACGAACTCAACATTATTACAACCCAATTGAGTTCAGTTGGAATCGACTTTGATGAAGAAATACGAGCTTTGATACTCTTGTCTTCCCTGCCAGAAAGTTGGAATGCTACAGTCACAGCAGTGAGTAGCTCATCGGGAAGCAACAAGTTGAAATTTGATGATGTTTGTGATTTGGTTCTCAGTGAAGAGATCCAGAGGAGAGAGTCGGATGACTCGTCAACCTCTTCAGTATTGCATACAAATTCAAGATGAAGAAGTTCAACCAGAGGAAGCGGACGAGGCAAATCAAAAGTGAGACGATCAAAGTCCAGAAATCATCATACTTCTAACAACTCGAAGACTATCGAGTGTTAGAATTGCGGGAAGACCAGACACTATAGAAATTAGTGCAGGAGTGCATTGCAGAATCAAGAGGTGAAAGGTGAGGAAAACATTGTTTCAACCTTAGGAGGAGGTGATGCATTGATATGTTCTTTGGAGAGAAAGGAAGAGTCTTGGGTGTTAGACTCTGGAGCATCCTTTCACGCAACTTCACAGAAACAGTTCTTCAAAAATTATGTCTCCGGGAACCTCGGTAAAGTATACCTTGGTAATGAACAATTTTGTGAGATTGTGGGAAAAGGTTTAGTGAAGATTAAGTTTAACGGGCCTGTTTGGGAGCTGAAGAATGCCAGACACATTTCTGACCTGACAAAGAACTTAATCTCAGAAGGCCAGTTGGCCAGTGATGGCTACACAACAATCTTCGTTGGAGATCATTGGAATATTTCTAAAGGTGCAATGATAGTTGCTCGCGGTAAAAAGAGTGGTACTCTTTACAAGACAGCTGGAGCATTTTATTTGATTGCAGTTGTAGTAAATGAAAGTCCCAATCTATGGAACCAAAGACTAGGCCATATGAGTGAGAAAGGAATGAAGGTTATGCACTTAAATGAAAAACTACCAGGTCTTTAGTCAATAGAAATTGACATGTGTGAAGACTGTATACTTGGAAAGCAGAAGAGAGTTTTCTTTCAAACAAGTAGGAGAACCCCAAAGAAGGAGAAACTCGATCTTGTCCACTCTGATGTTTGGGGTCCAACTACCATCTCATATATTGGTGGGAAGAAATACTTTGTGACTTTTATTGATGATCATTTTAGAAAGGTATGGGTATTATGAAATATAAGACTGACATATTCGAGGCTTTAAAGGTGTGGAAAGCCATGGTAGAAAATGAGATCGGATTGAAGATCAAAAAGCTCTAAACCGACAATGGTGGTGAGTACGAAGACACCAGATTCAAGAAGTTCTGCTATGAGCACGTGATCAGAATGGAGAGGACCGTGCCAGGTACGCCTCAACACAATGGTGTAGCTAAGTGTATGAATCGGATGTTGACAGAAAGAGCTAGAAGCTTACGTGTTCAATCAGGCCTACCAAAGCAATTATGGGCAGAAGAAATCAATACAACAACTTACTTAATCAACGGAGGTCCATCAGTACCATTAGAGCAGAGAATACCATAAGAGGTATGGGCGGAAAAGAGGTAAAACTCTCACATCTTAGAGTTTTTGGTTGTGTAGCATATGTGCACATTAGTGATCATGGCAGGAATAAGCTTGATCCCAAATCAAAGAAGGGAACTTTCCTCCGTTATGGTGAAGATGAGTTTAACTATCACCTATGGGATAATGAAAACAAAAGGATGATCTGCAGTAGATATGTGATCTTCAATGAAAGAGTTATGTACAAGGATAAATAGAATATAGGTGCCAGCAACTCAGATTCGAGTGGGCCAGTTTATGCAGAAGTGGACGATGTCCCAGAAAGTCCTATAGTTGATAACCCTCAGCTAGAGGAAACAACTGAACAAAGCGGTGAGCAATAACCTGACATATCAGAACCTCCAACTTCAACTCTTGTATTGAGAAGGTCTTCTAGAACTCATGTTCCTAACAGGAGATACATGGACTATATGTTATTGACAGATGAAGGGGAACCTGAAGATTATGCAGAAGCATGTTAGACCGCATATTCTAGCAAGTGAGAACTTGCTATGAAAGACGAGATGAAGTCTTTGATCTCCAATCAGACATGGGAACTTGTTGAGTTACCTATGGGAAAAAGGGCACTTCACAACAAATGGGTGTATCGGGTCAAGGAGGACCATGATGGATCTAAGAAATACAAGGCCCGATTAGTTGTCAAAGGATTTCAGCAAAAAGAAGGAATTTACTACACTGAAATCTTTGCTCCAGTTGTGAAGCTTAATACTATCAGGTTTGTGTTAAGTATTGTTACTAGTGAAGAGCTCTACCTAGAGCAATTGGATGTGAATACCTCCTTTCTTCATAGAGACTTAGATGAGGAGATCTACATGCATTAACCAGAAGGTTTCTCAGAAGAAGGGAAACAGAAAATCGTGTGCAAATTAAAGAAGAGCTTGTATGGTCTAAAACAAGCTCCAAGACTTAGGAAGTTTGAAAGCTTCATGCACAAGGAAAGTTTCCAGAAGTGCAATGTCGATCACTGTTGTTTCTTCAAGAGGTATCATTCCAGTTATATCATCTTCCTACTGTATATCGATGATATGTTAGTAGCAGGTCCAGATATGGATGAAATTAGAAACTTGAAGATACAATTGTCAAAAGAATTTGACATGAAGGACATGGGTCCAGCAAAGAAGATTATTGGAATGCAAATCACGAAAGATAAGCAAAGAGGAATTTTCAGTTATCTCAAGAAGATTACATCAACCGTGTTTTGAAAAGATTCAACATGGACAATTTCAAACCAGTTAGCACACCTTTATCTAGTCATTTTCATTTATCAAAGGACCAGACCCCGAAGACAGAGTAAGAAAAAGAATTGATGGCTAGTATTCTGTATGCTTCAGCCATTGGAAGTTTGATGTACGCAATGGTATGTACGAGACCAGACATTGGCCATGCAGTGGGAGTTGTAAGCAGGTTTATGTCAAATCCAGATAAAGCTCATTGGAAAGCTGTGAAATGGATTTTGGGGTATCTACGAGGCACTAAGGAAAAGTGTTTATGCTTTAGTAAAGGTGAATTAAAAGTACAGGGCTATGTAGATGCGGACTTTGCTGGTGAAGTTGATCACCGAAGAAGTACCACCGGTTACATATTTACAGTTGGTACTACAACCGTTAGTTGGATGTCACGGATACAAAAGATCGTTGCTCTATCCACTACAGAGGCTGAGTATGTAGCAGTAACAGAAGCTAGCAAAGAGTTGATATGGCTTCAAGGATTGCTCTATCCACTACAGAGGAGTGTTTTGCACAGCGACAATCAGAGTACAATACATCTGACTAAGAATTCAACATTCCACTCCAGAACGAAGCACATTGATCTCCGTTATCACTTCATCAAATCTCTGCTTGAAGATGAAGATGAGATACTAACGTTGAGGAAAATTCTCGGAAGTAAGAACCCAACATATATGTTGACAAAGGTGGTGACTACTGATAAATTGAAGTTGTGCTCAACTTAAGTTGGTCTGCTATGATAACATACCAGAGAAGGTTGCTGCATGATCGAGGTGTGAAGACCGACTGAAGTCAATCTTCAAGTGAGAGATTGTTGAAAAAGTCATAAAAATCTTAAACACCACCAGTTATTAATGAAGAAGTTATTATAAGAAATAAAACTGATGCTTTGGAGAAAAACATGCAGAGTGCTACGTTGTTTTGCTTTACTTGCTATAAATTAAGGCAAATGCATAAATAATAAATATTCAAACATTAAGAGTCTTTTTATTTTGTATTTTATCTTTCATAAATAAAGTTTGCAGTTGTTATATCAACTTGTATTATTATTATTATTTCACATTTTATACTGCTTTCTATGAATCTGATCATGGGGAAATTTTGCATAATTTCCTAACAAGAAATTGACTTTCTCATGTGGGCTATCATGAACTTTGAATTGCAAATGCAACATAAAAATATGGCAACATTCGATATGGTCGAACATCTGAAGACGCTCTTTCAAGAACATGCGAGGTTTGAAGTTTTCAAAACCATTTTTCAAAGCAATGTAATTGAGAGAGTCACTATAGATCCCATTGTACTTAAAATGATTTAGTATGTAGAGAATCTTGACAGATTTAAGTTTTTCTCTAAAAAATAGCTTGCGACTGATTTGATCTTGCAATTATTATCAGATAGCTTCAATCAATTTATCCTAAATTTCAATATAAATAATATGGACAAAACACTCTCAGAGCTGATAAACATGTTGAAAACTGCTTAGCAGAGCAGAATCTAAATTCACTTGATATATGGTGTTTCATGTTTTTTCTACTTCATTTATAATTACATTTTGATGACAATAACCAGTTTTATTTGCATTTACGTAGATCAGTATTTTTAAACAAACGACTAAATCGCTTCGAAACTTGTCATTAGAATACCATTTTTATATCACATTATTTTGTCTTAAAAATTGATTCGTTCAAACCAACGCTTCTCATCAAACAAATATATATCAATATTCCGGCAAAAAAGAAAACATATAGTTTAGAAAATAAGAATATGATAACATTGTCATTGTAGTTCATGGTATTGACTTTGTCTACAAGGAAGCATCCAAGAAGTACATACCATAGGTACCAAAGTCAAAAACATCACATAAATCAAACTAAATTATTTCTTGAAAGACAAGCAACCACTGCCTATTTTGTATTATAAATTACAGCATGAGTTGGGTATGTTATGAAAATGCAAGAATAATAATGGCTTCAAAGAGGTTTTTGCTTATTTGGGTGGTTCTCTTTCTTTGTGTGTTGAGTCTTTCTACCAAACCACTAGCAAGGAACATTCCTAATGTTTCTAAACTCTCAGTAGGTAAATGAATTGATCCGTTTCTTGCATTAGTTACACTATTATAGAAAAAATACATCATTTGGTTCTAACACAAGTAGGTAATATGCAATGATTGTAAGTTTTGTAAACTTGATCATTGAGTTTGCTTATATGTTTAAATTTTAATTATATATTTTGTAGGTTCAGATAAAATGGTTACGAATAAAAGAGTGCTTGACCAAGATACTGGAGGACCTGCATGTAAGAGGGGAAGATTGACTTATACCGTGAGTCGTATCCCAGATGATCCACGTTGCCACCACTATTAATGATGAGTTAGTGTTACCTTTGTTGGATTGTAATATGTTAATTAATGTAAGAATTTAGTTGCAGAAGAATAAATAAAATAAATTTAAAAAGGCATATTGAATGGAATGATATTATATGAATTTATACTGTTTGATTGTGTTAAGAAGTAGATTATCCATAATATATAATGTAAGAGAAAAAGGGTTAACCTCACAAGAATCGGGAAAAATTCAATAGTCAAAAGTTGTTTCAAAAAGTCAATAGAAAAACACCCAAACTAAACATAGAACAAAAAAGAATAAGAAATTCGTCGAAAACTAGTTGCTAAGGAACAACTAAAGATATGACAATTTCAGCAAAAACACCCCGTCTACACAAAAACATCCAACCAATCACCCGACTAGAAATTAGATTAGCAGACTCACCATCAACAGACCAAGAGATCTGAAGCAACACTATAACTATTGGACAACTCTGAATCAGGTCAGAACACTTGATTCGTTAGGGATTTAGGCTCATGACAGGGTTTTAAAGTCATATGAAGGGAAATGAGTTCATGTTGAGCTGCTAAGAAACCACTGTCAAGCCAAAAAAATACTTGTATCCTTCACCTCTTTCACGTTTGTTGACAATCTAAAAAAAAAAAAGACTTATCATTACGAACAAAGCAAATGTTCCAGACCATTGTATGCTAAATCATAACAAAGCCTCCCCTGAATTTAACCTTAATAGCTAAAGATAATGAAAACTCAAAAAGAACCCTTGACTTGCTAGGAAGAGCCAAGTGAATCCCCGACCACTAAGAGATCATATTCTAGACACGATAATAAAAATTACAAGTAACATAAAGATGCAAGGAAAATTCTAGTCCTTCCCCACATAAGGTTCAAGAGATACACTCCAGGGCACCTATGACCTTCCGCTTGAACATGTTCTCTCTAAAAGGAAACTTGTCCAACAAAAGTCGTCAAAAGAAGACAACCACCTTAGATGGGGCTCATCTACCCCAAATAAGAGAAAGATAAGGAATTAATCTAATTGTTCTATTGTGGAACCAAAACTAGAAGGAGAATCGATGGTTGTGGAAGATTAAAGTGGATATGAGTTTTCGATGTGATGGAGAGGGGGTTGGACTTCAAGGATAACACTTTAACGCTCAAGTCAGTATGTGAGAGAGAAGTGTGAATGGAAATTAGGTTTGAAAATTGTGTATCTAAATTATTAGTGCATATCCTATATATAGTGAGGTGGTTATAACAATCTGGTATTTACTAGATGTGTGATACAGAGAGTCGTTGGATGTATCTGGAATTTTGATTGTGTGTACACTTTTATAGGGTAGTTCCCAGGCACCATAAATACTTCGGATGAAATATAATTCCCTCTAAGTGGCCGGCCGATGGTCAATCTAGTTGGCCCAAAACAGTTGTCCCCCAAGCTCTTACTTTTGTACGTATAAAAAGGGTTTGTCATATTTGTCTCTCCTTCTGAAAGCTCTTTTAGCTGCCCTGGAAATTCAAGAGAGGTCGTTACATTTTTTTTGGAAATTCACGCCTTTAATGTGTTTCATGCTTCAAATTTCCTATTGGAGGTACTCTCCTAATGACCCTAGAGAATTGGATCAATTAATTGTTGCATGTATGTAATTTGAGACATTGACAGGGTATACTCTCCTTTGAATGCCATCACACAATTTTAAAGAGTTAATTTCTCATTTCTCAGAGGTACCTTTCCTGCATTATAATTATTTTCTTTCCTTCTATGTGCCTTGGAGAAATTAATATCTACTATGAGTCAAAAGTCAAAAGAATATGTTTGTGCTTCTTGGGTAGATCATGATTATTCTTCAACTGTTTTTTTCCGCTCAAGAGGGTAGTCTTGATGGGGGCCTTTTTGGATGTTTAACCATCTCAGGATTAGGGTGTATTAACCCCTAGTGAAAATGAAAGAATTTACAATGAGTATGGTGATTGTTCTATCCCTTTTTATGAGTGCATTTTCACGATTCTAGGTTACCTACTTCCCTTTAATGACTTTAAAGTGGAAGTCCTTAAACATTTGATGGTTTCTCTGTCACAGCTCTATCCTATCAGTTTAGCGTATATAAAAGTCCTCCAATATTGGTGCAAATATTTGAATGGGAGAGCTTCTCTTATCCTTTTCTTTCATCTCTTCAAAGTCCAATGTGTCCTTGTGATTTAGGCAAGAGTTGTGGTTTGATTCACTTGGAGCACACTAACCATGGTTTACGAGATTTTTTGGAGAACCTGAAGGGTTTAAAAGACCGATTCTTCCTGATTACCTCCCTTCGCGTGTAGGCTTACGGTACAGTATGCATTGTCACAGACGGAACTGATGACGATTGCACCAATTTATTTCTCAAATACTGGAACAAGGCTCATTTCCTAATGGGAAATGGGTTGTACGTCTATTAATGTGACGACCTTTCTCAAGAAAAGTTGTATCTGAAGAAATGATTGATGAGTTTTGTCAAGGATATGGGTTATCCCAAGGGAAATATTTCTCGACATGAAGCTTCCCATAAATGCTTGAAATACATCATCAATACCCACCTACTGATAAATGCTCATACCAAGGAAGAGAGGAAGATTATTATTGATAAGTCTCAATATTTACTAGTGTTTTCAGTAAATCAAAGCACAAGTTTTTGTTCACTTAAGGGATTAAACTCGAAAAAATCATATGGACAGCTTGTGCAAAATAGTTTGATGAAATGTGCTTATGCTTAGGTATTGATTTTTGAATGTAGGGAAATTTGATAGAATTTCCAATAAGAACAATGGAGAGTTGTTTGAAGAAATGAAGTAAAAAAATAACACAATAAAAGTAATGAAATAAATGCTTTGATTTAAGAATTAGGAAAGGGACACAAATTCATACATTTCTCACAAACTATTTTCTCTCTATGACTTGGATACTCGAGTTCTATAGAGAATAGTGATAAAAATGGTAACCTTTATTACATAAATGAAATCGACTTATATACTAAATACATCAATAATCATCGATAATAGTTACTTCTCTAAGACTCGACACATACATTGTTACATGGAGTTCTCTTGTCTACTTTGCTTCCACGTGTATTTAGTGCTTGAACTACTGCAAACTGCTACTCATGTTGACAACTTCTCTTAAATCTCTCGATTGCTTCTGTCGAAGAAACCTTCAAGTCTTCTAATTGCCTCTTTCAATATGTCAAATCACAGCAAACCTTTTAGAGATTTTAAATATGTTTTAAAGAGATATTGATCCTAATCTTAGGGATTTTTTCTTGAGAATCCTCCAAATCAGGCTATGTGGGTTTCTTGATCATCTAATCATTGACCGTAAGAATATACTAAGTCTCAACAGTCAAACTCACCACCCCGGTTGAAGTAATCAACATGTCAAAACTATAGCTAGATCATTTTATACTTAGTAATCTCATACCTTTATATCACACTTTCATGTTGAAATAATCAACTAAAAATTCCCAAGCTAACAGATGCCCCCTAAAAATGCTACTTTAAATCATATTTGAAATATGGAAGAAAGCTGACATTTTTAGTAAACTCCCGATACTGTTCAATGTAGTATGCATATATCATCGTCATCATGACCACTTTCACCTAACCGTCACATCAAGAACATGTGTGCAAACTATCATCATGATTTCTATTTCCTATGCCATTGCGGGCCACAATAATTTACTACATTAAATTAAAATTATTTAATTTCTTTTAATCCAAAAATCAAAAAGATATTTGTTTAGATTTTAGAGGAAAATTGAAAAATATTTTTCCAAAACTATATACACACGCTCGTTTGCTTCCTTTTTCTTCTTCTCAAAATTGCTCTCTTTTATAAACTCTAAAATATCTCATTCCTTCTACAACCTTTACCTCTCTTTCCGCTTTTCAATTTCCAATAACACTGGCTTCTACTTAAGGCATGGAAAAATTGCTTCTGCTTCCATTTGTTGCATATCTTTAAGAAACTATCCTTGTCAACAATCGTAGCTAAATTCATGTACCTCCAGTGGAGAAGGAAAAAGTTTTTATTCGGGTTTCTCATGTATTTATCCACTTTTCTCTTACATGTATTACTCGTGCTTTTCTGGGTCATTTACCCAAGTCACCTATGAAACCACCCAAACTAGAAAAGTTTTTCCTTGTCCATCATCATCCAAACTGCGTGCATTTGTACATATCAGTTTTGAGTTGGGCTTCATGGAACATCCCAACTGGGTGTTCTGTTTCTCTCCTTCCACCAATAGTTATCTATATGTTATTTGGTTATACAAACTACAAAAGAAGGAATAACAAACTTAGAAATATCAAGGTCTTTTTTATTTTATCTAACTATCATGAATTGGACCCAGATATAATTTCTTAATGCTTATCACTGCCATATATTTTTGGGATCCCTCGACTAACACTTTCTAATTACCATGTGGGATGGTTACCCCTACTCTCTTCGATGTCTCTATTGTAATACGGTGGGATAACTGACTTGGTTTTGTGTTTTATCGCAAATGTTGTGGATAGAAAGAGTCGCCACCGACTTTTATTTTATCTAATAAGGAAAGGGTGAAAAGAACAGGAAAAATCTTTAATATTTATTGAGTTTGGGGGTAGGTTATGAAAAGGGAAGGTGTTAGCACCCTTTTCATCCGTAGTTATCTACGGGCTCTTAATCGCTAGCTCACTTTGTTTTGAAAATGCTTTTGTGTACGTGTTTTAAAACATTTTGAAAAATGCCTAAGTATGACTACTTTGTAACGATTCTTGTATTAGTTAAGAATGTTTACAAAGTTTTTGTCTTTTTGAAAATATTTCAGAAAAGCGTTTTGTGAAAAAAGATGTTTTGAAATGTTCGCGAGCAAGCGATTAAGAACTATCTACCTACTCAAATTTCTTTCGCGTTATTTTCCTCCTCCTTTAGATAGTATTATCCTACCATTAATTAGTAGGAAGCCCTATTGTTGTATGTGTGAGGGACGGGCGTAGGGTCGTCGTTA